GGGGGGGGTGGAGTTAGGCCTTGCGGTAAACACAGAGCCAAACAAAAATCACTTGAATTCTACAGAAAATTATTTTGCATAAAAATAGGTACCTACTTCTAGAACTAGATCTAGACCTAGATATATCTAACAATCTTTGGATCGACCGAAAGGGTACGTTGGATGATACTAGAAAAACGGTACACAAATCAACTATGAAATCAAAAGAAAAAACAAACAAACCAACAACAAACTTACACAAAGTTTATGTTCAAGTTTGCATGCTCCTCAGGAACCCCCCAGGATCGAGATTAGATCTATCCGTCTGCAGAACATCAGCCACGTCTCAGCGGCCCTGTGTTTTGGCATGCACACCTATATCCATTGTTCCAAACACAACACGACACGAGGTTCCACTGACTGAAACACCGTAGGCCTACGTCGCCGAATTCCTTCACTCAAGTACCAGATCTAGATCTAGATTCTAGGCCTCGGCTACACAGCTGATCCCACTACTGATATTTCCAATGGACCTCTCAGCCTACTGCAGATTTCGGTGCGCTTGACAGCAGAATGTAAAATAACTTGTAGCAACTTTTCCAAAGACGAGAAGAATTCGCGATTCAATCTTTTCACACTTCTATAACACACCCACTAGACTATATTTTTTTCCTCCTCTCCACAAAAATGTACACACACAAAAAAAGCACACACTGATAACAAGAATCGTCGTTCGCACCAACGCTGACAGTGACACAGTGGAAAGACCCGAACTCTGATCTGACGTTATACACACACGCACACACACACAGCATTCAGGACTGGGCAAGTGTTATATAAATCCAGTCAACCGGTTATTTTTTTTAAAGGATTTTTTTCGTTGGTAATTTCACGGGCCGATTTTGATTGCCTGCTCTTTTCGAACTTGTTCAATTTTTTTTACTTAAAATCATAAGGATTAGGCTAGGTGATATTTTAAGGAAAACAGGACTTATCTTGGTAAGCCTGTCGAATTATGAGAAAACTAGAGCAACAAAGAGTCCCACTCACTAGTAATAATTAGTCCTATGGTGGTGCAGATATAGACGCAAGATCGGCTGGGGTATAGGCTCAAATCAGTGAATTATAGTTTCAGTTTGAATTTTTTCATTGATGTAGAGGCCTTAATTTTCTCAAGATGAGAATAACATTTTTAAATCAAAAGTTAAAGTTTGGCTGGCATTTTTTCAGTAAGCTGAATAAGGTTGTCAGATTTGTCTTTTGTGAATACGTTTGTCTAAAGGCAGCTTAAGAATGATCTTGTTATGGGGTTTAATGTCAACAGAACATGGATGGTAATTAAAAAATCAATGAGCTTTTTAAGATTCTTATTTCCTGTAATGTGTATTTTCATCAGGTTAACAAACCATACAGGCGTTACCTTCTCATGCTCATATCCCAAAACTATAATAGTATTATAATTAAATAAATGAAGTGATATATTTTGATTAAGAAACTTTCCCAAAAACTAGGTCGGAAATTAACCGGTTAGTCTCATATGAGTACAATCGAATCCGGTTCATAATGGAAACGGATAGCTGCCCGGCTGTGCTGGACACAGGTAGGTAGCAGCAGACGGAATGAATGAGGGGGGAGCACGGTGGACGACGACTCGAGACTTGCGGGGCTGTCACCCAACGTCGCCCCAAGTAGGCCCCAAGATCACAGCTGTAGCTCGAGTCTTGTCTAGATTTTCTACCACCAAGTGCACGCTATCAATCGAATTCAGTCCAACTTTGTCGGGGACAGCCACATTTTACACCATGGAAGTTGCACAATAGGCCGTACCACCAGTTCGACTCGCGACCCTGAAAAACAAACGTGTTTGACTTAAAAGTCACTCACAAACGAATTCGGCCGAAATTCGGTCGAGCCGTGCCGAAATGGCAGGTAGATTTTGCACCTTCAAAGAGGATAGGCCCTATTAATCTGGATGGCCCGGACTCAATTCGACTGAATTCAATTGACAGTGTGCACCGCGTATAACGGCCAACTCGCAACGAACTTCGGTCGCACTTTGCACAACATCGCAAGACCCACAAGACAGAGCAAAGCGCACGGCGGGCATTTCTTCTTTTTTTTATTTAGATTCTACATGTAGTCTTTTTATACCCTACGTTACTTTTTCTCGAGTCGGCAGAGAAAGCTGCCTGGGCTGTTTGCTTTCTCGAAAACTCGTCTTTAAAGGCTTTGGAAAGAGTCAGTGTGACCGCGAAGATGCTGGTAAACGACATGATTTTGTCTCACGGTTTTATACATTATTATACCGTGGTCGAAATTGTCCAAGACGGCCAACTACTGTAGAGGAGAAAAGCGATTGTCTTAGACAGATGGACATTAAACGTTTTGGATAGTGTCATTAAAAGATTAAATGG